AGGCGGCGCTGAGCCCGCCGCGCTTCACCCAGCCCCTCAGTCTCTCCCAGGGGCTTCCCACCAACCCCTACCCCAGGCGCCGAGATGGAGGCTCGCAAGGCAGCCCAGTCTCAGGCCGGCGGCCACGGCAGCTGGTGGGACGTACATACTGGAAGAATGATAATAATGTTTGTAAAGTCCGCAACCACTCCCGACAAGCCCTTCCAGTCATAATTTAATAGAGAAATTGCAGGGACAGTGGTGAGAGACTTAAGCTCTATTTTCCCTCCCTCTGCCGAGTGCACGTGGGGAAGCTGAGCCGAGTGGGAGGCGGGCGGAGGCACAGGCGGAGCTGCCGTCGCCGTGATGGGGCACGTGGATTAACACGGGGAATGTCAGGTGACAATGTTAACGGAGAAGCAAGATGCAAACTGAATATCCCAGGACCAGGCACAGGAAAAGGGCTGGCAGAATGCAAACAGAATGAGGCAATTAGGGGTGATTTGCACTTTTCTATAATTTAAAATGTCGTATAATGACAAGATATTACTTTTATAACCAACAATAGTTTTATTTAAAATAAATGTCATGATGGTGGGATGGGTGGCACCCAAGCCAACAGCCTCCCGGTCCATGTCACCACCAACTGCCTTCAGCAGCCACCACTTAGAGAGAGAGAGAGAGAGAGAGAGCGGGGGGGACACTCACTACAGGAGGGCACGTCGCACAGCTCCATGGGCACGTGTTTATTCTTTGTGAAGCACCAGGGGCCTTCCATCTGCCCCCCGGGGTTCCGGCAGTAGGCGTGCCCCCCTCCGAGCTCAGGGAAGTCTGCGCTGGTCAGGTGGTGGCTGTGGGGGTGCTGCAGGGCCCACGGCTGGCACTGGTGCCCCGACTTAGTGGTGCTCGCTGTCCCCCTGTAATCCGTGCCCGAGCCGTTGTAGCACTGATGGTCTAAGAGACGAGACATGTTAGGAGGCCCGATGCAAGCGAAGGCGGCCTCTGCGGGCAGCACACCCTTCCCAGCTCCTCTAGAAAGGAGAGCGAACCGCTTTGCCTGCATGTACTCAGACTGGAGTCTCCAAAAGACCAGAGGACTCTACATCCCTCTAAGAAAAGCAGCATTAAAAATAATTATTTGATAAAGTCCCAAAGTCACTAATGAAATTGGGGTGCATCAGGGGCATCAAAGGGGAAGTGATTCCATGATCCTGAAACCACCTTAGGGACCCAGCAGGCACCCCCATTCCAGAACAAGGCGCTCAGCCCCAGCCTCACGTTCACTGGCTCTGGAAGCAAAACCAAACTGAGCAGGGGGGAGCCAGCACCAGCCTGCCGCACCTCAGCCGCCCGCCACTCCGCCTCGAGGGGGCCGTGCTCCCTGAGCCAGGCCCGGGTGTTGAGCGGTTACAGTGCTACCCACATCTGGACACTGTTCTGAGGCTTCTAAACATTAACTCATTTACTCTTCATTCCACCTCCGAGGCCGGCAGTCGAGGAAACGGCATTTAAGCTGCTTGTCCGAGGTCATGTGGAGAAAGCCCCGTGGCAGGATTCGGAGAGCACGGTGGGCAGGCGACCAGGCTCCCAGCACCTTGGGGACCCCTTGGCTAAGGAACAGTGTGGAGCTTCCCGGGGTGCCCTGGAGGAGGGCCCGCCTGGTCAGCGAGGACAGGTGCCTGTGGTCACAAGGCGGGTCTGGAGGCTTGCCTGCTCCCCGATGCCCCACAGCTCTGAGGCCGGCAGGTGGCTCCACCTCAGGGAATGAAGTCTGAGGCGCAGGGCGGCGGGGCTACTCACCTGTGCCCCCCAGCGGGGGCCAGCGGGTGTGGCGGGAGCTGTGACCGGCAGCCCCGCCCTCTGCCCTGAGCCCTCCTGCAGCTCTGCTGGAATAGGGGCCCTGCGCCTGACCTGCAGTGACTGAGGGCCCGTGTGCGGGGCGGGGACCCCGGGCACTCACAGCGGCCCAGCCGCTCCGCGGGGATGCCGATGCGCATGCAGTTGGCGGCGTCGGGGCTGTCGGGCATGGGCAGTGCCTCGCACTTGGGCAGCTGCAGCCGCATGAGGATGAGGGGGTTGGAGCGGGCGATGCTGTACTCCTGGCGGCACAGGTCGCTCTCCAGCACCTCGCACTCGTCGCGGCACAGCTCGCGCGGCTTGGGCACCCGTGACCGTGCGTCGCACAGCGGGAACACGAAGTGGCAGAAGGACGGGATGGCAAACTGGGAGCACTGGTCCGACAGGTGCGTGGACGTGCCGATCATGGTGAAGGCCGCTGCGGAGGAGCGAGACTGTGGTTAGGGCCCGCCCGCCCCTGCCCCCCTTATCTTT